AAATAGTTTTATTATTAAAAAATTATAATTTTTACAAGACTATTTATTAATTTTTGAGATTTTTAGAATAATAATGTAAAACCACTGAGACTGAGACCTTTCCACCAGTCTTCTTTCCAGTGCCAAAATAAGACATATGCCCATCTCTATTAATGATATGGATACCTTCATTATAAAACCATACTTGCCTCAAATAAAATGCTGTGATATGGGGATTTCAGGTAGAGGCTGAGTCTGTTGAATGTCAAAATATATGTTGTATCTTGTCCACTAACACACATCTCTATTTCTTGTTTTTGTAACTCAAATGCTCTTTTGTAGTCATCAATATATTCTTCAGTGTGTGTATTTGCCACATTTGTTACACACACTGTTCTAGGCTGTTTAAATAATATGTTAAAATTTTGTATTGAATATATTGCTATAAGTTCAATTCTTGATGAGATTGATTTGGTGGAAAAAAAGAAACCTTTTTTTCCCTACATTTTTAAATATGCATTGAATACATCTTTTTACCAGAAAATAATGGATTTAAATACTGTTTGTAGATATTTTCAGTACAAAAATAATGTGATGAAAGTTCTCATTATTTTTGTACTCAAAATATTTACAAACAGTATTTAAATCCATTATTTTCTGGTAAAAAGATGTATTCAATGCATATTTAAAAATGTAGGGAAAAAAGAAGGTTTCTTTTTTTCCATGATGGAAACTTCTAATATGATCACATATGTAATTTTCTACATAAATTTGTGTTTGTAAGTATGAGTTTTGCATGTTTATGAGTAATCTAATATCAAAAGCTTTGTCAAAACAATTTGGGATCAACAGGTATTAAGGCTATTTCCAGCCTGAATAACTTGCTTAAAAACATTAGCAAAGTATCTTCCCCTTATTATTGACAGTAAAAAGTGTTATTGGATACATTTCACTGAGCAGTTTATGTGAAAAAGTTTAAATTATACTCATTAGTCTTAAGGGCTTAGATTATATTTTTATGGTATTTGAGGCAAGTATGGTTTCCAGAACATCGTAAATAATAAATAAATCTATTTAATTATTTATTAGCGCAAATAAGTACACTCCTAATTAAGTATATTTTAAATTATTCTAGGTGTGTGACCCAGACCTGTTAATTTTTAACATCAATGCTAAATGGCCAGGAGCTACACACGATGCTCACATATGGGAAAATTCACCTGTATGCTCCAACATGAAGCGACATTTTGACAATGGGGATCGCCGTACATGGTTACTTGGTAAGTAAAAGACCAAGGTTACTAGAAAAGAATGTTTGTAAGACTGCCAAATGTAATTTCGATGTTTAAACTTTTAGGTGATGATGGATATCCTCTGGAGCCATGGTTGATGACCCCAATAAAAAATCAACACATAGAAAGATGCTTTGGTGTGCTAAAGTCTGTGTTTAGATGTCTGTCTCATCAACGCCAGTAAATGTGTGAGCCATATACTGCTGACCTTATACTAAATGCATGTGCAGTGCTACATAACATGCGTGTTAAATATAGATTGATGGAACCATATTATGTCACCATATACACCGAAATCATTGTTGATGGCTACAACGATGATTACTTGGAAGATACAGGATATAATAATGATTTCTTATATTTACGCAAACACTACAAATTTAAATGATACTAGTTTTTATGGATTCTATCGCGTTTATTTAACTTTTTAAATACCCGACGTTTCGAGCGCATTACAGCACCCACGGTCACTGAACTGAGATATCTATCTATACAGTATGAACTTATGGTATCTTGAAGTCTTGCAGTTGTATGCTTGGGTTGGGATTTAATTTTATTTATTATAGGATCCCAAGCAGATGGTAGCACCCAGCCATCTTCTCTATTGTTTTTTTGATTTCAATAGCCTCGCGAATCATCCTTGGAAGGAATCAGTGTTCTTTAGCGAGAATTTGTGGTCTATCAAATCTGATATAGTGACGGGGGCGATCCTGTACGTATTCACAGACTGCAGACTTCCCGGAGCATCGATTCTTCACATCAGCCATATGTTCTTTAACGCGGGTTTTTATTGATCTTTTAGTTTGTCCTATGTAGGAGAGACCACATTCACAATCAAGCTTGTACACTCCTGCATCTTGCAGAGGGACATTACACTTGACTGATGGTAAAAACTGACCAATCTTATTCGGCGGCTTGAAGTATGTTTTGATGGAAGCGTGCTTCAAGATGTAGCCAATCTTGTCAGTGAATCCTCTAACATATGGCAGTGCAGCAGGTACACGCTCGACTGTGACCGAATTCACTCGTTCACCGTGACGTAGGCGCGGGAACCGAAGCTTGTTGTCATGCTATACTTGCTTGACGTGGTGGAGCTCGGCAGCCAGGTGTTTACAGTCACAGATTCCTCGTGCTCTCTCAAACAAAGATTTACCCACGGTAGCTAACTGTGAAGCATGGTGGTGAGAATCACCATTTAAATATCTATGTGCATGGGTCTTCTTTCTATACACAGTATGGCTCAAGGTGTTATCAGGATTCCGAAATACTAACACATCTAGAAAAGCTAAAGAATTGTTTGCCTCTAAATCCATTGTGAACTGAATTTTAGAATTTATAGAGTTAAGATGGTCTAAAAATGCAGATACTTTATCTTAAGGTAGAATTGTGAAAGTATCGTATACGTACCGCTTGTAGAACCTTTGATTTATGGGAGATGTAAACAGGGCTTTCTCCTCAAAGTCTTCCATGAATATGTCGGCGACAATGGGAGATATAGGTGAGCCCATCGCCACGCCATCTACTTGCTTGTAGAACTCCTCCTTCCACAATAGGTAGTCGCCATCCCGTCCCAATCCCCCCCCCCCCGTGACCATGGGTGCTGTAAAGCGCTCGAAACGTCGCGTAATTAAAAAGTTAAATAAACGCGATAGAATCCGTAAAAACTAGTATTATTTAAACAGGTAATAATGTTATTTACGTAATATTAAATTAGACTATGTTGTTTTTGTAATATTAGAATAATCCTAAAATTTTATGTTTTTATTACAGGACGAGTAACTGGCACTGTGATGCAAAGAAGACAAATACTGCTTATACTTAATTATCATTAGTATTATGTTATGTTAGAATAATCTTAAAATTTTATGATTTTATTACAGGTTGAGTATCTGGCACTGGGCGAGTTGCTGCATAGCGCATGCAAAGAAGACAAATACTGCTTATACTTAATTATATATAGTTTTCTGTTATATTAGTAATAATGTAACTATAGTAATGATGTGTATAGTAAATGGTTCATATTAATTGTATAAAGCAATATATTGTAAATTGAATTTATTTAAAAAAATATCTCTATTTATTATTCCCATTTGCTGGGCTTTTTTGCTGGTTCTTCCCAGGACAGAGATTTTCTTCGAACCAGTGTTAAAAGTAAAAAAATTACTAAAAATCTATATTGAATAAAAATGATTCTATTCTATTAATTGAATTGAAATAAAACATTAAACATATTAATTTATTTATTATTATTATTATTTACAAGTAAATCTCCTATTTTATTAACAGCCTGAGCTAATAAATGAAATGCCTCGGCCTGAACTTTTGCTGCCTCCGCCTGCATTCCGTCCTCCTCGGCCTGTATGTTGGCAGCCTCTGCCAGTATCTGTAATGAAAACTATAGATAGATCGAGAAATGCTTGCTAATTCTCTCTAGCGTGCTAGTGAATCTTTAGGATAGTGTATGCTATAGCATAATATCTATTGACAGATCAACAATAGTTTGCAATTTTTTTAAGGGTGCCACACGAGCACAGACTCCACCTGATGTTTTGTCTTGACGCATGTCTATCAAAATCAAAATGCAGATGAATTATCACCCCTGAGGACTAAAATGGAATGCCTCGTTACTAGTCAAGGGTTCGGTTAGGGTCTCCGGTTCACTACACTTATCGTGGTTATAGGCGTGATTCTTCCTCAGTCGAGCCGACCCCTTGCTACGACTATACAACTAATATAACTGCAGTATGGCTCTACCACGTAAAAATATATTGATTTTTTTCTTCTGTTTAGTTCTGAATGTAGATGTAATGTTATAACATAGCCTCATCATTACTTACTTACTTACTTATCTTCACACACAATCCCTAACGTGGTAGCCAGAGAGAACAGATCGCCAAGTGTCACGATCCTTACATACTCTTTCGCTTCTTTCAGGTTCATTAACTTCTTCATACATGCACGTATAGGTATCCGAGTACTCTTGACCTTCCCCTCTTCGAGCAATTTGCTCACATGGTCTTCGAAAGTTAGTCTCGGTCTACCTCGACACCTTTTAATATTTACTTTCGCTCTATATATTTTCTTCACCATTCGGTCTTCACTCATTCACTCAACGTGCCCAAACCATTGGAGTACGCCCCTATCAATTTTTGTGATAAGGTCATCTTTCAATCCTGCCATATTGCGAATCTCTTCGTTTCGTTTTCGATCGGCTTTGGTAAATTTTTCCTTCGTAAAAACACATATTACGAAGAGATCGCATCTCCACTGCATTCAACTTGCTTTTCTGCTTTCGCTGCCATATAACAAAGTCGGTACCAACACTGCGTTATGTATTGCAAGGCGTGCACTCTTCACCACGCCTTGCCTTTTGACTAATGCATTCAGGGCACCATTGACTTTGTTTCCGGCAGCGACACGCCTATCCACATCTAAATCACATCTTCCATCCCGGCTGAAAGCACTCCCCGAGTATACAATTTCATTTACCTGTTCTAGACATCATTGAATCTGAATTAGATCTTGCACTGCCTGGAAATCCTCCCGAGCTATATTCGCTTGCTCGGCTGTAATTTGGCGAGGATTCAGAACTTAAAACGAAATTTATTGTATTGTAATTAAAATAATATTTGGCTTTATTCTGCTCAAGCTGATATCTTGTGAACTAATGTTTATATTATTAGCACTTAATTGAAATTCAAGCTTACTCCTTATCCTTCTGGGCCTCTCCTATCGTAAAATGGGTGGTGACGTAACGACAGCTGCTGCTCTGCTGCCTCTCACTGCTGAAATAATGAAATAATACACATGAAATGATCACAATCTTACTAATAGTATAAAGATGAATATTTGCAAAGATTTTTGTTTGTTTATTAATCACACTAAAACAGCAGAAGACTTGTATAAAATTTGGCACATATACCATTTTATCTTAAAATAGTAGATAAAACAGCGGAACACAAATACATAATGTACTTAAATAAGAATTATATGAATAACAAAGATTTAACTTACTTTTTTGTGGTGCTGCTGACTGCAGAGTTACTTCTTGCACCTGTTGTTCATTAGGTGCTGGTGAAGCAACAGGTGTGGCTCTGCTGCCACTTGCTACTGAAATAAATACATTAAATATATTAGTGAAATACAATCATGTAGAGAGGTATGAATGTAAATGTAATAAAAATAACAAACTTACTAATTTTGTGGTGCTGGCGATGCTTTATCTCTCTCAGCCTCAAGCAACTGGTATTCATTACCTTATAATTATATTTTAATATATCTTAAAAACTTACCTTGAGACAAACAAATGACTTCTACCATTTCCACCTCAGCCTCCGTCTCATGTTGTAATGTCTATAATAATTAGTAAAAGTATTTATTATTTTAAATTGCATTAAAACCAAAAACTAAGATTATGAAGATTGATTAATTACATAAAATTGTATATAAGTAATTAATAAGAGTATATACTACACACTACTGAACTCACTTCTTCCTCTGGCATATAGTCAGGGCAGTCGCTGCCAAATGTGTACTGAAAACCTATCAGCGACACAATTTTTTTTCCACCTCAGTCAGTGGAGCAGTGATGATGCCTTGGTTGCCAGTCCGCATCCTTTCTCTTCTTAATTTTGCCGCTTTAGTGCAGGCCCAGTTTTTGAAGTCTCTCCATACCTACAAAATAAATAATTATGTATTTTAAGTAAATATTAGGTACACTGGCGCTGCATAATGTGCTGGACGATTTATGTATAAGCCATTAGTAGTAAATGGGGAAAATTCTTTGATAGAAACTTAACTATTATCCACTGCTCAGGCGTCTTGACGGATCCGTTGGGAAGCTGATTGAGCTCGTCGGCAACTTTCCTCCAGCCCTTTTCAAAGCTTTCTTTGCCCTGCAGGCCACTAAATCTTCTTTCGTATAAATGTGGAGTAGCTTCCAGCTTGGACAGAAGTATCTCAAGCTGCACACACGTAACACGTGATGTACGCTTACGTCTGAAACGTACATAGAAGTAAATATACAAATTTTAAAAATTACGGTCTCTAAACAAACCATTCAATAAACAACGATAGATTCGAAATAGGTGTACACATAAGAATTATTTGGACAGGTTGTAACAGTTATAGTTTTCGGGTTGTACTTACTTAACGCAGCTCGAAACCGGGCCTGCGCCTGCGTCACTGTCCCCTACCATAGAAAATATCACAAACATTATTTTTAATAAAATGTATGATAATTTTATAAAATAAGTAACACAAACTAACTAGATGATATGTAATGTCTACGTTGTCAAATCGAGACAGACAGTTTTGAATGTAATGGTGTTGCAAGAAGGCAAACTTTTATGTCCTTTGGTATTTAACAAGTTAGTTAAATTCTTAGAAACGGTGAAAGCTACTTGTAAGTTACATAAAAAATGTTTTTATAAGAAAAGGTTTCATCTATTTCCGTACAATTTTCAAGGAAAAGCAATTATTTTTACAAAATTATGTCTGCAAATTTTCCCTAATATTTTTAACAGCCAATATTTTTTTTAATAAAATCCGCACTATGAATACGTTTTTCGTAATCGTAACGACAACGTAAATTAAAGATAATTAACGATCTTGCCCGGAGTCTCGGCTGTAGAGACTTGCATTTATCGTAAGTATCGTTATGGCTAGCTATTTCTGTCGTTATTATTTGGCGATCGGTAGTTTGCGATGGAGTCGCTATCTATGTCAAGACTGCAGCCGCAAGTTGCAATTGTCTTACACGTACTACTTTTAGCTCTCTCCCTCAAAGGTCGGTACCCTTGTTCGGACACATAAAAAAAAAACAAGAATTAGGACGGCAAGAAAAAATCCTTTCCACAGTGGACTATCCCGTGTCAGGGTTTGGAGTAATACGGTACTGAAAAATTAATTAATATAATTTGGCTTGTAATTTTGCCCGTTTGTTCTTAAACAAATAAGCCTTTATTGCAGGTTTGAATAAATCGTTTAACCTGTCCATTGGTAGCAGGATTATATAGCGCTCACCGTTTATGTTTAATGGCACGCATTTTCAGGAAATCATGGAACTTGGTGTTAATAAATTGAGTGACATTGTCACGCTTCAGTATTTCAGGGTAAGCAAACGTGGTAAATATTTTACCTAACATATTAGTTGTATAGATAGTGTCAATTCTGTTTAAAATTCTGGCCATTTTGAGTAAGCATCAAAAACTCAAAGAAAAAATACATTCTGATATTTTCCTGCAAATACAATACGAATCCTTTCAAATGAATTAGATGGGCACTCATAAGTATGTTTGGAAGCTACGGCTTGAGTTGAGTTCAGTTGTAAAGAACAATCCATGCAATTATTTGCTACATTTTTTACATAATGATTTCTTAATAATAAATTAACAAGGAAATACTCCGAAAAATTTAATCTCGACGTGAATTCGCTAATACCATCATGTACCAAACTGCCGAAGTTGTATGGGTTACCAAAGATACACAAACCAAATGCTCCACTACGTTCCATAGTGAGCCAGATCGATTCACTACAAAGCAAAAATACTATCACTACTGAGAGGACATACCGGAGCACACACAAAGGAATACATACCATTTTGTGAGTGAGATAAAAGACCTACATCTCGCTAACAATGAAACTATGGTCAGTTTTGATATTCAGTCACTATTTACATACCTACCTACCTAATATTGACTGCATCTCAATTGTAAATAGGAAGCTAGAAGAAAATAACATGCGTCAAGAATATGGATATTACTTGAACACTGCCTCACATCTCGCTATCTATTGTGGAAGGAGGAGTTCTACAAGCAAGTAGATGGTGTGGCGACGGGCTCACCTGTGGCTCCCATAGTAACCGACATATTCATGGAGAACTTTGGGGAGAAAGCCTTTCGTTTTCTTACTGTTCCCGTAAATCTAAGGTTTTACAAGCGGTATGTAGACGACACTTTCACAATTTTACCATCTCACTAAGTAACTGCATTTTTAGACTATAAACTTAACATAACCCATAAACTCTAAAATACAATTCACAGTGGAGTTAGAGGCAAATAATTCTTTAGCATTCCTAGATGTTTTAGTCATCCGAAATCCTGATAACATTATTGATCACATTGTATATAGGAAAAAGGCCCATACCAACCGATATCTAAATGGTGAATCTCACCATCATCTTTCACATTTAGTTACCGTGGGTAAATCTTTGTTTCAGAGAGCATGAGGGATTTGTGACAGAAAACATCTGGCCACCGAACTTCAGCACGTCAAGCAAGTATTGCAAGACAATAAGCTTCAATTCCCGCTCCTACGTCACGGTGAACGAGTAAAGCCGGCTACAGTTGAGCGCACGACTGCTGTATTATCGTATGTCAGAGGAGTCACAGACAAAATTGGCTACATCTTGAAGCGAGCTTCCATTAAAACATAGTACAAGCCGCCGAAGAAGATTAGTCAATTTTGCCATCTATCAAATATAATATTCTTCTACAAGATGCAGGTGTGTACAAGATAGGTTGCGATTGTGGTCTGTTTTACATAGTTAAAATAAAAAGATCTATAAAAACCCGCTTGAAGGAACATATAGCTGACGTGAAGCACGGACGCTCGGAATCCATATACTCGCAAAAGAACATCGATTCCTACCAACGATGAAACGCGAGGCTATTAAAATTAAAAAAAACTCCTAATTTTCAATAAAGAAGATGGATGGGTGCTGCCCTCTGCTTGGGATCCTATAATTAACTAAATCAAACCCAAACCCAAGCATACCACTGCAAGACTTTATGATACTATAAGCTCGTTTTGCGTAAATTGGACCAAAAATTATTCAAAAAATGAAGGTATCCGGAATAACTATGACATTGGTACTTCAAACTTCTCAGTCCTCCCCGTGATCATGGGTGCTGTAAAGTACCCGAAACGTCTGGATAATAAAAATAAGTTAAAGTAGTAATTAAAAGATTGAATATAAATGACCCAGAACCTAGTATTTTAGACGCCGAAGTAGGACAAGCAATAAAGGCTTTAAAAGCGAACAAATCACCTGGTAAAGATAGCATTCCAGCAGAACTTTTAAAAGCATGGGTCCAGTAGGCCGGAAAATTATGGTTAAACATCTGCAACTCGATTTGAACTACAGGCGTATGGTCTAGAGAATGGACTGAATCTGTTTTTGTGCCCTGGCATAAGAAAGATTCCAAAAGTAATTGTACAAACTACAGGACAATTTCCTTGATTTCGCACGCCAGCAAAGTCATCTTGTATATAATAAATCAACGTCTTAAGAATTTCCTAAACAGGCAGATTCCCGACGAGCAAGCTGGCTTCGTAAAGGGCAAGGGCACAAGAGATTATTGAAAAGAGTCGCGAGTTTGCCAATCCAGTGTTACTGTGGTTCATCGATTACAGTAAGGCATTTGACTGCGTCCGTTGGGGTAAACTATGGTCAATATTGTTCGAAATGGGAGTACCAACACACCTAGTCAGCCTAATTGCCAACCTGTATAATAACAACCGATCTTATGTGAGACTCGATGGCAGTTTTTACAATGAGTTTATGACTATGAAAGGCGTGAGTCAAGGTCTGTCTCCGTTGCTCTTTAACATACATGGGGAGTAAATCATGCGGAAAACCATGGAAGTCTGGGATAAAGTGTTTCATATTGGGGGTAAAAGGGTGGCAAACTTGCGACATGCGGACGACACTGTGCTTCTTGCAACATCTTATGAGGACATGGAGGAGCTGCTGCATAAGCTAGAATTAGAAAGCAAAAAAAAAGATATAGAAATAACAATGTCATGTTTAGTTTTTAATATCATATATAATATAATATAATCGTTTTTAATAACAATCTCTATTCTTTGATTTGGTCAAGCTACATCATGATATAGCCAACAAACACAGTTAAATTTTATGAAATACCGCCATTTCGGTTTCAACGATCATCTAATTTATGATATTGTAAATACTAAGATCTGACCAATATACACATTTATAACTATAAAAATATAATTATAAGAGTTTTGTACTAATTGTAATTTCTGTTTTAAAGTTTATAAACTAATACCTACAAAAATTGTTTATAGATTAGACACTAAACTCAGAAATATCCATTTTATGATTTTCGATAGATGTCACTATTAACTATTTAAATAGTAATTACTTATTATAAAATGTATATATATATATATATATATATATATATATATATCATAGTCATAGTCATAGTCATAGTCATTTATTCCTTAGAACAATATTACATTGTATTGGAAAATTAATTAAACAGAATCAGAAATTACGTTTACATGCAATTGACTTAAATAAAACAAAAATCGAATAAAATTTAAATATCATTTGACAATCATTCTTTATACTTATATACATTCAATACTTTTCATGTCATAATTAAATATTTTTCATGTCATAATAGATTAAAATATAGTACATAAACAAAAAAAAATTAACATTCATTAAGTATATTTTTGTCATTTAGGTATTCGTCAACTGAGTAGTAGCTTTTCTTAATTAATAATGATTTGAGTTTATTTTGGAATTTTCGGTGGCAATAAATAACTTTAAATGAGATAGGTAAAGAATTAAATAGTGCAATAGCTTGATGCCTTGTGCTGTGGCGTACAACATTCAAAGTTGGTGTAATTGAAGTTTTTAAATCTTTTCGACGTGTCATTTCTCTCTTTTTCCTTTCTTCGTTTGTTTCATATTTGTAAAATTTTTTTACTAAGTATGTAAGTGAACTAAGATATACAGAGAGGGAACCGTAAGTATGTCAAGTTTTCGAAAATGTTCTTTACACGACTCAATTTGTGGAATACGTAACATGGTGCGGATCGCTCTTTTTTTGTAATACAAACGCTTTCTTAATATTATATTTATAACTGTTGCCCCAGAATTGTATGCTATAACGAAGTTGTGATTCTACTAGAGCAAAATAAACCAACTTAAGCTGCTTTAATGTAACTTCGTCTCGTAAACTTCTTAAGGCATAGCATGCTGAACTGATAGTAGATTCTAGTGCTGTCATTTCCTTTTTCCAGTTCAAGTACATGTCAATGTGGATTCCTAGAAATTTTACTGTTTGAACAGATTCAATATTTTTACCGTCAATGTTAATGTTTATTGAGTCCTTTTGTCTTGCTGTAGATTTGAAAAGCATTGCGTACGTTTTATTT